CGGACAGGTGTTGGTTTTTCAAAATGTGAGTTACAAGATATGAATTCTGCAAGCGCACAGAATACCATTGTAGCACTTCACCGGGAGTATACCAGGTATCATTATTTATATTTTACCACAGGAAGGAGCGGTGGCAAGAAAGAGATTGATAAACGTATACTTATGATGGATCAAGAAACTAAACACTTCTTCTAAATAGGGGTAAACCAAAAGATAGATATGTATAATAAACATAACATTCAGAGAGACTCCAAAAGATAACAATAGCTAGTCTAAGTAAATACTAGAAAGATAGGTTCCTAAATCATTCTAGTTACAAGTCAAAGCATATCATGACATATTATATACTCAGCAATAGCTAAAGATTAACTCTATACTAATGCATAAGAGAAATCTCTAAGGAGGAGCATAGCAGAATATAACTTACTCCGTCGTGACACTGGTCCTGCTAGTCCTACAGACGGGGGTGGACTACAGAGAATCAACAAGGCTATTACCCATGCAATCTACCACACTTCACGGAATGGAGGGTGCATCCACAGGCAAAACAATGCATATGCACCACGCTTACACAAAGTCTGGCTACTCGACCCGTTCGAACACTGAGTCAAGCGCTCTGTGATCTTATGCATAGATATAATGATAACTTCGACTATCCTAAGCATATCATCAAAGCAAACTATATAAGTGTTCGGCTGCTGGGTAAGCCAGCCGTTCGGGCTGTGGCTGCTGCCAGCGCAAGAGAGAAAGCATTGTAGATACAGTGTGAAACAGTGCACATAAGCCGGCCAACCAGCCAGCCGAACACTCCCTATGAACTTGATAACTAAGTACATAATATAAGTGAAGATCAGTGTCATCATAGGATGAATATAAAAGATACAAGGGCTATACCAAGTCTCCGGTGACTAGATCCAGAATCCGAGCAGAAGCCCGACTCTACTTAATCTATCTTAGCTAAGCTATGCTAAAACTCTAGTTCTCTGAGAGCTCTTCTCTTCTGAATGGATTAGAATGAACCCAATGCCTTTCTGGAGGGGGTCTGGGGGTCCTTTTATAGGGTGCACCCGACATCATGTGGGCCTATGAATCCATGGCACGGCTTCATCTCGACCGGACTGTCAGGGCGAGTTGGATACACGGCTGTGGGGCGGCAAAACGAGCGGTGAGGAGAAACATATGGACCGATGTTGGAGATGAATGGATGAGAGCGGTGGCACGGCAGACGGAGGAGGGACGCTTGAGGTAGGGTCGGGAGAAGAGGAGTTGAAGAAGTCCCTCTAGACGAGGAGGGCGGAATCAAAGAGATGTGGGTGTTGCGACAGAGACAAATGCGAGAAATTCATGGTAGTCGGATGAAGAGGATGAGGAGAAATAAGGGAAGAAAATAAACAAATACAGGGAGGTCAAAGAAAAAATAAAAAAATATAAGGATATTGTAGACATTTTACCATTTTTGTCAACCACGAGACGCTGTTTTACCAAATGATCTTCAAAACTCCACTCTACCAACCCAAGCTAAAAAAGCTACTCCGCCAATGAAGCAACCAAACACTGCAGCAGTTCAGCATCCTTTAATCTAGCAAACATAATATAGGTACAAGCAGCCCTAGCTGCACCTATGTACGTACAGTACACACTACTACAGCGAGGTGGTACTAGAGTTGCGTTTTTATACTATGCAAGTTCCATATTCATGTTCGTATACACGGAGCGGCGTGCTGCAGGATCAGCGTGCTTTAACAAATCTTTAGGTCCCTATCAGGAGACTTGCGAGCAGCCGGTGTTCGCGGAACCATCACAAGGTTTTCAAAAGCAGCAATCATACGTCAAGTTGCAGTTATATATACAAGAACTTTACGAGGGGTTACAATAATAAGATCGCCCTCTTGGGTTAGGTGAAGACTTGCGTGGTGCTGGTTGTCTTGGAAAGCAGCACAAGGTTTTAAAAGGAGCAATAGTGTGGACGCATCTTCTACAAACTTATTAGCCACGTCATCAGCGCGCTACTAGTCGCCTTATCACGGTAGTCTCTGCCTCACTGCCTAACACGCTGGTCGTGCTCTGTGTCTTAGCACACCGTCGATGCAACTCCTCTGCAGCTCCTGCCACGGCAACCTTGGTGAGTTGAAGCATTTTCAGTTGGAAAATACTGACCTAGATTTTTCTTTGTGCTGAAACAGAAACAATTAACTTTGATTTTCGAAAAAAAAATATTTTCAAGTCACTGTTGTTGAACTATAAACATATGGCTTTAAATCTTTCTTTACAGCTCGCTCGAATTTGAAAATTTCCTTTGTTTCAGTTTGAACTCTACTGCACTGAAGAAAAGAAAATACAAGGTAGAGGGATCACCTTGTATTTTCAGTTTGAACTCTACAGCATTTTCAGTTGGAAAATACAAGGTATGCACTGGAACATGGGGGATACAGTATGCATCTAATTTTTTTTCCCTCTAATCTAGCAAACATAATGAACCGAAGACTACAGCAGTTCCGTATCCTCTAATATAGGTAGATGACTACCGAGCAGTTCAGCATCCTCTTATCTGGAATCATAATACAGGTAGATGACAACTACCACATAATATAGGTAAACGACAACGTACGTGCATACTCTACACATTACTACAGCTAGGCAATCTAGCAAACATAATATATATATATATATATATATATATATATATATATATATATATATATATATATATATATATATATATAGGTACAAGCAGACTTAGCTGCACGTACGTACATTCAGTACACACTACTACAGAGAGGTGGTATTGGAGTTGAGTTTTTATATTATGCAAATTCCATACTCAAATTCATATATACGCCGATGGGAGTAGACGTCAACGGAGCGGCACGCTGCAGCCTCAGTGTGCTAGTAACAAATCTTTAGGTCCCTATTTGTTGTTATATATACAGCCATAGAGGAACGTTAGGTGGTGCTAGCATAATAAATCAATAAGATCACCCTCTTGGGTTAGGTGAAGACTTGCGTGGTGCTGGTTGTCATGGAAAGCAGCACAAGGTTTTAAAAAAGGTGCAATGATGTGTGGACGCATCTTGACGTCCCTTTCGGCAGCTGAGTCAAGTCGTCGGTGTAGTACATGTGCAGTCACTGGGATGGCACATGTGCTGCCTCTGCATTAATTACATGGATGGGAAGTGGATGCCTATAAGAGAGGATGCTTGCATAGGAACCAGGGAGTGCATGCCCTTTGTGTTTTCAGCCGGCGCGTGCGCTCTTGGTCTCAGGCACACATCGACGCAAGTCCTCAGTCTGGATCGCTGGCCGCAGCCTGCTTGGTGGGCTCTAAACCGTGGTGAGTAGATGCATTTCTCATCATTTGGAAAAAATACTTACCATTTTGAGTAGAAACAGAAACGTCTTACTTAGCTTCGAACAAATTTTAGGTTCAAGTCTTTATTATCTCGGCCGCTCTTATCCCTGGCCATAATGCAGCATAACAAGCTGGTCGTGCTCCATGTCTTAGCCAACCATCGATGCAACTCATCTCCAGCTCCTCCCACGGCCACCTTGGTGAGTTGAAGCTTTTTCTTTTGGAGAACACTCCTAACTCCTAAGTATGTTTCTACTTTGAGCTGAAACAGGAACATCTTACTTAGCTGAACAAATTTTATTAATTAGGTTATTGATCGAAAAAAATATTAATTAGGTTCAAGTCTTTGTTGTTGAACTATAAACATTTGTCCTTAGTCTTTTTTCGGATCGGTCAAACATTCAATTTCGTTTACTTGTTTCAGTTTGATCTGTTGTTGCACTGAAGAAAAGAAACAAGCGGAGGGGATAGCAACTGGAACACACAGTGAAACAACTTTAACTGGGAATCGACGAAATTTTTCATTTGATGTGGCAGTGAAGGTAGATGGAAAATTTGGATGGCTTTGAGGGAAGCTATATAAATTTCAGTGGCATTGAGGAATTGACTAAAGGTGGGCTTTTGCCTAGAGCCCGTCTCGCAATTTTCAGTGGCTGTGCCCAAAAATATCCGCCTATTATATCTCCTAAAATATTTTGTATAGTAGTCTAATGATGTAGTCCAATGTTCAAATTTACAAGAGGGCTGAAATTAGAAATTTTGTGAGACATGAACGATTAGTTTACTGAGCTCATAAAATATGTATACGGCCTCGGTAGAAATAGCACAACCATAAGCATACGAGTAGAATAAAAATTAATAAGACAGGTTTTTAAGCGAGGAAACTGGTCAACAATAGCTATATGGAGTTCATGCAGATGTATGCGGTAGGGGATCATCAAGAGGGGATTAGACAATTAGAAGTCGAACAAATAAACAAAAGTACATTCAAACATTGTTTTCATGTAACAAAATGAAAAACTAGATATATCTATGTTATTTGCGTAGGCCACCTTGTTGTTTTAGATTACTTACTTGGTTGCATGTTTGGAAAATCTAAGTTGCTGCGTACCACTTAGCTTCTGCTGTGCCAAACGTTATTTTTGGCGTGGGTGTTGCGATGGGAGATGTGACAGGTACCATCATCATCTTTAGAAAGATTCAGTAATCAATTAACATAACATATGGTCCGTTCTAAATTGTAAGACGTTTTGGCTTTCTATATACATAACTTTTGTTGTGCACCGAGCTATACATTACGTCTAAATACATAATACAAATCTATGTACGCAGAAAAGGCAGAATGTCTTATAATTTGGAATAGAGCGTTAGTGAAAAAAAAACCCCTCATCGTTGGTACTATATATACGGCTGCTGGTGGCCTGCTCTTCTCGCCTTTCACAATCTATACTCTTGTTGAAAGAAGCAGCATCGCATTCCTCACGCTGCATGCTAGCCAAGGTGACAAGCGACTAATATAAACATCGTCTTTGCATATTTCTCGTCATTTTATTATTATTTCCTTCTAAGCTATATCTAGCAGCATGCATGAATGGCACCTAATGTATGCATTATTGGCTGTGTACGCAGCAGACAGATATAGTTAGAAGCCATGGCGGTTGTTCTCGATGCTTTGGCACCCTATGTGAAGAAGATAATCACGGACATGGCAAAAGAGGAGGTGCGCATGCTGCTGGGTGTTCCCGGTGAAATCAACAAGCTGAAGGATAACCTGGTATACCTCCAAGACTATCTGGCTGATGCTGAGAGGAGGCGCGTCACCGATGTTAGCGTGCAGTCGTGGGTGAAGAAGCTCAAAGACGCCATGTACAAGGCCGCAGACATCCTTGAGCTTTGCCAGCTCGAGGCCATGGAGCGGCAGGAAAAGTCTTCCAGCAGCGGGGACGCTTCAAGTTGTTTCTGTTCTCTTGAAGGACTCATGACCATGTGTGGAAATCTGCAGGATGTCATCCAGCCATTGGTGTTCTGCCTGCAGAACCCTTTGTTCGCCCATGAGACGGGTAGCCGGATAAAGAAGCTGAACCAGGAGCTTGACAGCATCCGCAAGGGCGCCGCTCAGTTCAATTTCCTCAAACTCGGATCCTACGAGGAAAAGAGGACGCCAACAGATAGTACAGCACAAGCAAGACGCAAGACGACATCGGGGTTCGATGAGTCGGCTATCGTTGGTGAAAAGATCCAGAGGGATACAGAGAACCTGGTGCAGAAGCTAATAATGTCCAATAATCGCCACGACAGCAGTGCCAGTACTACCATCAAGGTGGTGTCAATCGTAGGCCCCGGTGGCATGGGCAAGAGCACTCTTGCCAGGAAGATCTTGGCAAACGAGGCCATCAAGGAGGAGTTCAAAACCAAGATATGGCTGAGCGTCACTCAGAAGTACGAGAAAGTGGAGCTGCTGAGGAACGCCATCACCCAGGCCAAGAAGGAACCGGCCAAAGGGAAGGACGAGTCCTTTCTCGAGGAGACCCTCACGGATGCCCTGTCGGCGAACAAGTTTCTGCTCGTCTTGGACGACTTGTGGACGGACGGAGCGTGGAAGGAAGTGCTCCACGTCCCTGTGGTTAGCGCTGCCCGTAAGCAACCGGGTAGCCGCGTCCTGCTCACCACAAGAAATGAAGACGTCACACTCAAGATGGGACACTATCACTCGCACAGTGACCAACTCCATGTCAGCAAACTGGACGATGAAGATGCTTGGTCCCTGCTCAAGAAACAGCTGCCCCGCCAGCGGCAGGTCAGTAATCCAGTCCAGTCCGCGTACAAACCGATCCATTTGATTGTTTTCAAAAAAAATATTACAGAGTTGAATTAATTAGGACATGAATTTAGTCAAACATTATCGTGCAGTAGCTATTTACATATTTATTAGGTAGGATATTCCAAAAACATGTATGCTCCAGCAGTTGTTATGAAAAATCACATTTTCTTGGCGCCTGGGGCGGTTGGATATCCCCATTGTCTGTCCTCCACCAGGATGGCCAGCGAGCAGCACCTTGCCATCAGCACAGATCCCAACACCACTGTCTGAGGTTGACCGGACCCCGGCTAGACCACCACCAATGGCCAGGCGCATGGTAAACCCCAGTCCCCAGGGCCTTAATCCTAATGACCGATGAACCCTAGCCCTAATTTTATTACCGTCATCGCTGTTGCTCCTCCGGGGAAAATTAAAGAAACCCTATTGATCCTGAGCTTTACCTCTAATATTGTTGCCGGACATGAAGAATATTATCCCGCACCTTGACCGGACAGGATGAACTGGGTGAAAACTCATGCGTCCAAAGGGCACCCACCTTTCCTCATGAATATCCTACCATATAAGTTTCCTAATTAGATTTTTTTTTTAATAATCATATTATTAGCGTATGTATTTCCACTATTATTCTTTACTCTTTAGACATGGCACAGTCCTTCCTTATACACATATATTTGTGGAATGGAAGATTATATACTACATCCATTCTAAACTATAGATCGTTCTAACTTTATAAAATATAGAGTTTTTACTATGTACCTAAACACAATATATATCTAGGTGCATAGATAAAGCTAGAAAACTAGAAAAGTTAGAACAACTTATAATTTGCAACTTGCAACCGACGGGAAGCAACTATTAATGACAAATGTAGTGGGTCATTAAAAATAAATTAACATCAGTCACTACTCACTAATCATATGCAAGGCTCTCCATCCTTGGCCGTAGGTCTGTTAAATTTTTTACAGAAGTTCTCCAGATTTTCCAATGATTCCGGATAAGGGATTTGAAGATGTCCCAAGACGTTCAGTAATATATATAGATTGGAACGTTTCAACGTGCTCCTCTTACCTGAAGTACTTGGCTTATTACCTCGGGGAGCTGACCGGTGACCGATAACTCCATGTCTCCATCCATAAGATTTTTTAGAAGTAAATATTATAGCTTTTTATTTCTTTTGGAGTATTTAAAATCCAGTAGTTAAACTAATTGGTATCCTGACATTATCTCCAAAATATCCTTCATTTTTGGAGGTGGTTCAAACCACATCTAAAACTCACATTTCTAGTGACAGCTATAATTTTCAACAACCTCTAAAATAGTGGCATTTCTAGAGGCAGCTCAAAACAGCACCCGCCACTATAAATCGATTTATAGAGACGATTGGCAATATAGCCTGCCTCAAAAAAATTCATGCAGCACAAAAATATAACTTTTCCAAATAGAGTTGAGTAAAGACATCCACATCTTTGTAGCCGATGACTTCTCCATTTGAAATTATTTAGACTCCAAAATTATGTTTTATGTTCTTAGTATGAAATTGATTTGTTTTCAATTCTTCAAACAACTTTAGATGCAGAGATGCCCTAAATCAAAGTTGTAGTGCTCGACAAGAGCTAAAACCTTCCGGTTCAGATATTTTCCTTTTGAGATCATTTAGCAGATGAAATATTCAATATGAGATTCGCGAAGTTTAATGTAAAAGGATAGCATACTACAATTGGTCACAAGTTAATCTGAGTCTTAGTGGTATGGTAGTTATGCACGAGGTTTGCAGTCTCGAGTTTCATTCCATGAACTGCATGTGCAGTACGTATTTCTGAAGGACCGAAACGGCGACCAAAGGGGGGTGAATGGGAGCCTCAAATTTCTTTCGAAATATTTGGCCATTGTCCCAAAATCAAACCCCAAAGACAAACACACGAAAGATGAGTAGTCCATGAGACAACTAGGTGGCTGGATGTCTATGGCGATGACCAAGAGACACAGCGGGACCCTCTAGAAACAACCAAGCCAAGCCCTCGACGGAACGCCTTGAAACTGAGAAGACTGCACAGGGCCGGAATGTCCACGGGCCAAGTGCGGACTGTCCGCGGGAGGGGGTCCGGAATGTCCGCGGTCTGCGCCGGACTGTCCGCCGGCCAAAACTCCGAAAACAAACAACGTGAAACAGTTCTGCCCCAAACTTTCGCAGCAGCGGTGTACTGTTCGTGTCTGAGTGACGGACTGTCCGCGCCTGTGCTGAAGCAAAACAGTACATACTGAAGAACTTGCCTGGGCTCGACCCCGACAGGCGGACTGTCCGCTGGTACACCCCGGACTGTCCCCAGGTCGCGGAACAGAGTGCCCGAAAATCACCAAGAACACAAATTCGCTCGATTTGTGACCAAATCAAAACCAACTGCCACCAAAATTGAACCAAGGGATCACAAGGCAGTAGGTGAGCTACTCCTAAGAGATCATCGCTCAAAGTTTAGCCAATCAACGGAAAATTCTGATCACGCGAAGAACACTAGTTTTTCAACTATGAAAATTAAATCGCCCCGACCTATGAACTCGTGAGGATTCAGACAAATTCCTTCAGTGGAAAGGATCAACTCAGGTCCTAATTCATCCCAAATCAATCGGTTTGACTCAAAACGACCCACAACTCAAGATTCAAGCAAGAACGTGAGAAGGGGTGGAGAGGGAAAAACAAGAACGTGAAGAACACGAACGGGAATCGCACAAAAATCTCAAACCTTGAATCCCGGAGTGCACAAGGAGGTTAGGGCCTCCATTCCGGCACAAATCTTCGGTTCGATTACACAGATGAACTTGCTAGATCCTATGAGGACCTCTTGGGAGAGAGAAGACCTAGAGAGGAGAAATGCAAATGGCAAGCGGTGAGGGTGATTGGGGCACCCTCATCCTTATTTAACAGGGCTATTACACAAGTCCCAAACTGCCCTAGATAATTAGGGCAAACCACCTTACCCTAAGGCATTATGGTCCAACTCAGTCTTCTGTCGATCGAACAGCCACGCTTCCTACACAGACTTGCTTCGCCTCAACGCAACCTCTGTGATTCCGCCACCAGCCACCCCGTTCCTCCTCGGAACCTCCGCCCGGGTTTTGAGGCCCAAACCCGAAAACCGTCCACCGGTGGTTTTGCGGCCCAAACCACCAAACCCGCTCGTGAGTAGCATAAACAATACGCGTCCCCCGCTCCTTGACACGTGTCACCACCGTCCTCGACTGCCCGGCCGCCAAGTCTTCTAGAGCCTCCGCTCGACTTGCACGTCCGCTATCTTGACTCCGTTAACACGGTCACTCCACCATGTACACTTGCACTTGTCGATGTCCCCAGTTGTCAGTCACCGCAGCTGGTCCTCTGGCGCTCCGGTCCCTAAGTCCAAGCCTCACGTCCGCCCTTCACCGCTCCCAGTCCATCGGCATGGCCCGTCTCTACTTGACCTTTCACCTCGCCATCGACCACCGCCTCCGAGCTCCACACCTGCGCACCACAAGCCAAGAGACAAGTTGCACAACACCAACTCACACCATGGTTAGTTCACAAAGTCAACCCAAGACACGAATCACGTAGACAATCACTTATCACACTGAGACCACATGGGTACATATCGACCATGTGTCTGCAATTTCATTAGGAAAGGCGTGAGGTCTAGACTTCTCAATGCCGTTAAAAAAATCTTTTGCCTTTTTTTAGCCTATTCACAAAACCTGAAAACGATTTCTATACATGGATTAGTTTCGATCTGCCTCTACAAAACAATTTCTAAGGACAGTTGGATAACGCATGTGGAAATCGATGACACATAAACAAAGGTGAGTGTACAACGACCCGCCGCTAGAAATAGACTTTGACTGCCTCTACAAATCCTTACCATGATAGGGATCCATGCCCCACCCCAAACTAACCATCACTGTAGAAAAGATACAGGTCATCTATTTTTCACAAGTATATGTGTTCTCTCGCTCGATCCCTCTTCGCATCTTACCTACTCATTATTGCTGCTAGCAATATGGATTATATATTCCTTCCAACCTTGCTGTCTAAATCTTTGATCATCATTTTGGCATTTAAATGACTACAAATAAAAAGTCATTTAGAAACTTCTAGTTGACCTGAAAACCAACAATTTTGATATAGTAAGGTTTAACTCCGTCCAAGTTCTTATACACAAGTCGTGAATGTCAGAAGACAAAGCTGAAACTGACGAATTAGAAAGGGAGGAAATTAGTCCTGGCTCTATTTAATAACCCGTATCTCTTTCTAAAAACTGCACTAATCCCAAAGCATACTTAATTAAATAATTAAGTAACTACTGTTTTTAATCAGCCCGGGCCAGCCCTGCGGTGCTCAGTCCATCCCAGATCATATGCATGTACAGTACAAGACTGGTTTGTCATTTCGTCAATCATTATTTTGACGACAGGAGAAGCCACGGCTCGCCATGGTTGCTGAATCTCTATTGTGTGCCATGCGCACGGCACGACACCTTTCAGGCTTCGGATGCCGCCGGTGACTCTGTTATGCCTGTCGTGGCTTATTCATTCGATCGTCCTACCACACCAATCATGCCGCTTTCCCTAAACCTGGTGCCTGGCGGACCTTGGTGCCGCGCTGCAGCTCCTTGGAGAGTTCGCCGGATCCGGAGTCCTCACCATCCCAATGATTTGCATCAGCCGTTTGTGATGCCCATATGCCTTCACATCTAACCTCTCCTCACCGCAGTGAGCCCGCCCGGCCCGCCAGCGCAAGTAACTCGTTTTGGGCATGAGTAATAAAGCAGTTATCAATCGAATTCACAGAATTGTGCTATGCACCTGACGTATAGAACTATAGATGCAGATAATCTTCGAGCTTTCGAATTGCTATGTACCAACTCTGGGTTAGCTAGTTTGGTAGTACTGCTTCTGTTCGTGAGCCTGACATTGACGATTACGACGAGGGCCAACAGCAGAGTGCAAGTAGACGAGGGTGAAATTGACGAGGGCATGCATGGGACAGAGTTGGCAAAATCCAGCAATGCCCTCCCTCGCTCTGTTGCAATCGCTAATCGCCATATCCAGATGACCGCTGCCAGCATGCGAGACGAGAACTGCTCAACAAGCACACTTACTCCCTCTGTCCCTATTTATTTGTCGTATCCGGTTTCGTGCTACAAATTTAACTAGATTTATATAAAATGCGTATAATATTTATATCTCTAAATAAATTTATTAAAAACTAGATTAAAAGATCTATCTAATGATATCAATTATGTATCATAAATATTAATATTCTTTTATATAAATTTAATCAAAGTTATTCCCCAAGAAACGAAAACGACAGATATTTAGGGACGGGGGGAGTAGATTGGATCTGTAGACATAGGGCGGGCTGGGCTGGGAATGGTGGGCATAGGGCTGACCAAAAACTAATAATAATTTGTTAGTAAACTAATTAAAGGCTGCCTTGGGATTCGTGCATCTTTTAGAAAGTGGTCTACCGGTGCACTCCTCTAATATGTATCTATGCCGATTCTCAATAAGAAAGTAGCAGTAATAAGCCATATATACCTGTGTGTGGGCTCTCAATAAGAACCTGCAAGGATAATCATAGAGGGGTCTATAGTGCCTCTTATTGAGAGCTAAGAATGGCAGCGGATCGGGTTCGGGGCGGATATCCACGGGTTTCGGGTCCGCGGTTTTCGGTTTCGGTTCCTGGTTTTCGCCCACGGATTTACTGGTTCGGATACCCGAAATACTACGGTTTTGGGGCGGATCCTGAATTTCATCCGTGGAGCTCCATTCGGGGGCCCGAAATATTGAGCCCACTAGAAGCCCAACTAAGAACCCTATTATATAAGCCTGAAATCCTTGTTGCTCAGTGCTCAGCCAACCGTCAATCCCTCGTCCTGTCATCCGCACCCAGGCCAGGAGCCCCGCACCGCCGCACGGCGGCCGCACGCCCGCACCCACCCGACGCCCCGACGGGCGACCTCGCCGGCCTCGCCAGTCCGCGACGGCGCGACCACGCCGACCTTCCCCGCACCCCGTCCGTGACCTCGCCGACCTTCCCCGCACCCCGTCCACGACCTCGCCGGCCTTCCACGCACCCTGTTCGCGACCTCTCTCTCTGTGGCGACGTGCGGCCTCCTTGGCCCTGTTCCTGCATCCGCCGGCGTGGGCGCACACGGCACGGGCGGCACGGTAGAGGTCCAGTCGGCGGGTCCCTGACGGCGCTCTGCCCTCGGCGGCTGGCGGCTCAAGAGCGGGCGGTGCAGGGAGGCGGGCGGCCCTGCAGAGGAGCGAGAGGGCGGCGGCGCTGGCGCATCCCTTCCCTAGATCTCGAATTTTCCAGGTTTCGGATTATCCGTCGGGTTTCGGGGATCCGCGGTTTCGGTTTCGGGGATGGATTTTCACCCGAATTGGTGTTCGGGGCAGTTTCGGGTTTTAGGATTGGGTTTCGGTTTTGGGTGCCCAGACACTCCACCCGATCCGAACCCGCCCCGTTGCTATCCTTACTGAAAGCCAACACAAATAATAAAGTATCCATAGAGTTCCCGATGTAAAGGCCGGCATGCAACAACATAATGCTTTTCTTGTCCACATGGCCTAAGCTATCTGAATAGTGATTACGTCAAACGGGCCTAGGCTTTTTTTTTCGAATCACAGTAGAGACACTTACACATGTGCACACAGTCATCTCTATGAACGCATGCATACACCCAATCCCTACGCATATGAGCATCTCTGAACTAAGACTTGAGCCGGCGATTTCGAGATTGACGAAGTCACCACATATGAACGCACAAACGCACGTGCCCCCCTACCCCCTATGAGCACCTCTGAAAGATTAAGACTTAAGACAGCGATCTTGTGATTGATGATGTCAACATAGGCATCTCGCTGTCGATGGATATATCGCCTACCACTCAAAGAACAAAGTCATCTCAAGATTGACGTAGTCACCACCTATGAATGCATGCACACACCCGACTCCTACCTATATGAGCACCTCTGAAGGATTGAGACTCGAGTCAACGATCTCAAGATTGACAAAGTCACCACGTGCGTCTCGCTATCAACTGGTACGTCGCCTACCACTCAGAGAACAATGTCGTTAAATTCTGAAATAAATCCAGGAAAATGCGAGCGCAAGTGTCTAGTTGAAGACTTGAACCGGGCGGATAGGTTCCACCACATGTAACCCAACCAGCTTGCTATGCTTTTTTATTCAACTTGGTTTTGTAGAACATGGAAATTTCAGTTCTGGTTATTCTATTACCTTCTCATATCTATATAAATTGTTTTCAGTTCTCTTCTAAATACACATGTGGATAATTCGACACCACGTTTGATTTCCATATTTTTTTACCATTGGATAAGTAACGTTTGAAGTTAAATTGCCACAAGTTGTTAAATATTGCATTTGAATACTATATTTACAACTTAAATTATTAGGTCATGTCTTGAATTTATAGCTCACCTTTACATGATTGCAATTTACTTATGCTGTTTTATCGCATTGGAGGCAACCAAATTTCCTTGCAGGTGTCCAGTTTTGTTTTTTTCAAACTACATTCCTTCGTTTATAAATGGTTTTGTATATCTTTGTACACCTGTAGGCACTACACATTTCTAAAATTCTTTTTTATCCTTTAAACTTCTTTATGCAATAGATTTCATGGCGTATTTAGATATGTAATGCAACGGATTGTGGATAGAGTTACTAAGTTTTTCTTTATGGATGACGTCTAGGTGGGTATTGCGGGTGATTATGATGAGCTGAAAGATATCGGGATGAAGATTATTAAAAAATGTGATGGATTACCGCTTGCTATTAAGGTTATGGGTGGACTATTAAGCACTAGGCGTCCAAAAGAACGTGAATGGGAGATTGTTTTGAACAAGAATATTGAGTGGAAAAAAGATGAGGCGCAGGAGGAAGAGGAACTCAACTACTCAGTTCGTTTGAGCTATGAAGATTTATCTCCACAATTGAAGCAATGCTTTCTCTACTACTCACTTTTCCCAAAGGGTTCAGGCTTTATAGAGGAAAGAGTTATTAGTATGTGGATTAGTGAAGGGTTTGTTCAGCATGATGGGAGGTCAGAGTCAGGCCAACTCGATCTTGAGGATATAGGGGCTGAGTATCATCGGGAGTTGGTTGCTAGGAACCTTTTGGAGCCCGATGATTCAACTGACAATATATGGGACTACACCATGCATGACATTGTCCGCTCATTTGCTCAGTTTATGTCAAGAGAAGAAGCTTTTGTGGTTCACGAGGATCAAGCCGACATTAGAAGTCTTCTACCAGAAAACAAAAGATTCCGCCGTCTCTCTATTGATATAGTTGATTCAGAACTGGAGTGGTCCATCCTAGAGCAGCAAGAAACATTGAGAACATTATTATTGATAAGCTGTGACATTAAACCTATAGGTTCATTACAAAATTTTGCTAGTCTGCGGGTACTGGAAATAAGCTCCGTGCAGTCTGACTGGTTAGTGGACTCTCTGTGTCAACTCAGACACCTAAGATACTTGTCATTGTCATATACAGACATATCTAGGCTTCCACATGACATCCATAAGATGTGGTTCCTTCAACACATTCAGCTTGACAACTGTACAAAGTTGGAGAAGCTTCCAGATAGCATCACCAAATTAGTCGGTTTAAGAAATCTTTCCTTAACTGGGTCCAAAGTTGATACAATACCAAGAGGGTTCGGCGGTTTAACAAATTTGAGGGCACTTTATGGGTTTCCAGTAAAGATGGATGGGGACTGGTGCACTTTAGAAGAGCTAGAAGCTCTTTCACATCTTAGAAGTCTTCAAGTCAACAGTCTGGAAAATGTGCTTGATAGCTCAATTGTTACAAAGGCTGGAATTAGAAGCAAGAAGCATCTGGAGTATTTGGAGTTAAATTGGTACGTTGATGATGATGATGATGATGATGAGGAGGAGGAGGAGGAGGAGGAGGAAGAGGATGGCGATGATCGTGATGACAACCAAGATGATGAGGTTGAGGAGCAGCAGGAGGTGGAGAAGGAAGATGATGAGAAGGAGGAGGAGGAGGAACATGAGGACGATGAGGAGAAAGAGGAGGATGAACAAACAGAAGTTGAGAATATTGATCAGGACAAAGAGGAGGACGATGGTCATACTGAGGATGGTGTAGGAAAAGAAGAGCAACAAATTGGTCCAGATCAACAACAGAGAATTGAGGATGTATTTGATGAGCTCTGTCCTCCACCTACACTGGACACCCTAATAATTTCAAATTATTTTGGCCGTCGGCTGCCAAACTGGATGCACTCGCCAGCACAAACAACCTTTCGATGCTTGAGGTCCATTACCATACTGAACTTAACCTATTGCTCTCGATTACCAGATGGTTTGTGCAGAATCCCCGGATTGGAAGAACTGCTTATCAGCAATGCTCCAGCCATCGAGCATGTTGGGCCTGACTTTCAGAGCGTAGCAAGCGGAGATGGAAGAATTGTTTCTAAACCGTTCCCTGAGCTAGTAAAATTGGAATTGCTCGGGCTGTCCGTATGGAAGGAATGGAACTGGGAGAAGCACAGCGAAGCCATATCCATGGCAGCTCTGGAACATCTACAACTCACAGACTGCAAGCTGACCCATCTTCCCCCTGGACTTGCCTGTGACTATAGGTATAGTCTGAGAAGCATATGCCTAAAAGATCTCACACAGCTAGAATATTTGGAGAACTTCCCTTCGGTTGTGAAACTCGATGTGCATGAATGCCCCATGCTCAAGACCATCAGCAGCTTCTCCATGTTGCGGACGGTCAACATTGATGGTTGCCAGAAGCTGAAGGTACTGGAGGGTGTCCCGGTACTCGACAACATGGTGTTGGATGATATTCCATGGGATGTTATCGGGACACCAGCCAGATGTAGGCCCAAGGGATATCAAGCTGGACTGCAGCGTCAGCTCCCACAAGATCTTACTATTATCAGGTAGGTTTGCACTTATTGATTAGATCAATAATTTGACAGATGATATACACCGTCGGCGATCACCGCGCATAAGATTAAGAAAGCAAGTTTCTTTTCAATGTAATAGGTGCATGTATAACATGTCGTCCCCTCTACTTCTTGTTTGAACACGAATTTTTTTTCTCTCACCTTGATTGATAAATTAAATTTATCATGGTTTAGCCCAAGGTTCTGGGCACAACGCCCAAGATAAATAACCTGCTCTTCGCCGACTCAAGACCCATCTGTAATTTTTTTGAGAGGGTCCAATCCGTACACACACAAAGAAAGAGATTATGAGGCTCTAGCCTTCAGTACGCGGGAAACACGCACTACCACCGAACGTGCACATGTGTACCCTACTTTTTGAAAAAAAAACAGAAAAAAATACGACACCAGGGTTTGAACCATGGTGGGTAGTGTCCCACTGGATAGCCTTAGTACTGGACCACATATCCTTTCGCAAGACCTTTCTGTAATTTGGTAACGAGACTCGAGGTCTCGGTACACCGAAGTATGGAGTTGCTCCTTTGCATGCCGGTCTGACTCATGTCGCTGCCACTCCCCTCCATTGTTGTGTTCCTCTCCTTCAGGCCATCGATTTCTCAACGGGCCGTCTTCTGGTCCTCCTAGAGGCTGAGGACAAGGTCGGCGAAGCCTGCAAAGGCAACCTAGGCCAACAGCATCAACCAGACCAAACAAATAATCACACTATACCACAACCAATCTGTAGCGTCGGACAACGGTAGCTAAAAAGTAATATTAACATCCAACCATCAGTCGCTATAAATTTGTAACAAATCATCGGTCGCTATTTTTACATGTATCGACGGAACATCGGTCGCTAAATATATTTAGCCTGTTACGTCATACAACCAGTCGCTAAAAACAAATGCTAGAGTCAAACGATTGGTGGCTATAGCCCATTTTCATTTTTTGGCGTGCTCAGCCCAGCCCACTCGCGCGCACTAAAATTAGCACGGCCCACCAGTCAGTGCCACCCAAAACCCTATCTGCAGCACTATTACCCACCCAGCAGCCGCATCTCACCCAGCAGCCGCCAGCCGCACACATCGTCTCCCACAGCAGCGTGCATCTCGTCCGGGCTGCCGCCGCCACTGCAGTCCCCACTGGCGCTGGCGAGCTCCGTCTGTGCCGCCCGCATCTCACCTCTTCACCAGCGCTGCCCGCGAGCTCGCCGTCCCTGCCGTCGCAGCTGCCGTCCCCGCCGTCGCGGCCGCCGTCAAGCCGTCGCAACCGTTGTCCAGGCTGCCGTCCACGCTGCGCGATCGCCGGTATCACCGTACTCACCCGAGCCGCTGCAGCCGTCGTCCCCACCCGGCCCGTCATCGCAGCCGCCGTCCCCTCTGAGCGTCCCCTAGCAGGTACTGGTTCCCTTCCATCCCGTCCGCTGCTCCCTTCCCCTCCTATCCCCTCTCGGCATTGGTCCCTTTCCCAGGCTTCCTTGGATGCATGCACAGCAGGTTAGCATGGAGGCGTTACTTGTTTTTTTAGACTAGATGGAACCCTGTGTGAACAATGTCGCCTGCATTTGATTGCACATATATAATGTGTAAAAAAATAGCATGGTCAGTGATTTTTGCGTGGCTTGAATGGAAGTATGCAATTTATCCCCATGGTCCACTTATTATTTCGAATGCATCAAGGCTAATATCTTGCTAATTAGAAGGTGTTTAATTTTCACCTATTTGCTTGATGAAGAAAGCATGATGCTTGTCCTTACAGAAATAAACAATTTTGGATTTTGTTTCTTATCAATTAATCATACCAGCTAAACCAAAAAGAATAAAAATTGTAATACTGTTATACACAAGCTTGTTTAAAGGAAACTGAGGCCAAGCAACCAAACATTAATTTGTTCCTCTCACCCACACATCAATATGAGCTACCATTCCAAGAGATGATGACTGTGCACCCTAAAACAATAAGTATTAGCGAAGAATGATTCTACCTGCTCAAATTCATACTTGGGTCCCATGTTTTATACAGATGAAAGCTACTAGTTGCAAATGCTTATAGGTGTGTGGATAGAACTGTTAGCATAAACCCATTCACTGCAGCATAGCCACCAGCCATTTATGCAATTCTTAGTTGGAAGAGATACAGACTTGTTTGAAGTAATAAATTGAGCTCAGGCAAGCAGGAACTAAATGATTCATCTAGCCTCTAATTGATAAAGAGTGACTTATAAATTGAAGTTGGGAGACTCAGAGAGACTGCAGTCTAGAGACTTATATACTATGTCGTGTACCAATTTTCTCTGAACTTGTTGGTATATACCAGCCAAGTCTGACCTCACCATATTGTAATTGCAGCTGCTCCACGTGTAGTTGGACACCTTGGGAAGGCATTTGAATGCGCTCTTGGCAGCAGCTCTACTTGTTTGTATCGGTAGGTTTCTGTTTCCCTAGCTGTTGATCTCTTTTTTTCATGTTGTGGAAGTATGCGACTATTTCAGTGCTTATGATATGTTTTTTATTTCATATTGAAATCTCGTTGATGTCTTGCGTGAAGGTTGAACATGGATAAAACATGGATTGATGATAATGCTGGGTAAAAACCAATTACTTTACAAATATTGAAAGTTATATATACATGTCAAATGGTATTTAACCTAAAACTTTCACATAGGCATACCAAGACATATTTGCAAGGAGTGAATGGTTTCTTAGCTTTTGCTTTTAGTAATTCTGCAGTAGGCAGCAAGATATTATGCCCTTGTAGAAAGTGTGTAAACTCATTTTGGAAAGAGGCAAGTGAAGTCCGTGAGCACTTGATATGTGATGGGTTTCTAAAAGGGTATAGAACATGGAACTTACATGGAGAAGCTAGCTCTTCTATGAATTATGGAAATTGTGATGCTGCTGAGGTCATAGAGGATTCCAGCGAGGATGATGAAATATCTTATTTGCTTAGAGACTTAGCTGCCGGTCTAGATGATAGACGAGATTTTGAAGACAATAGTTCAACTTTGGAGACTTGTCCTGAACTAGTTGCCCTTCAAAAGTTAGTAGCAGAAAATAGCAAAGAGCTATACCCAAATTGCAAGAAATATATACAGCTAAGGTTCCTAATTAGATTGCTCCACATCAAACTCCTTGGAGGATGGTCTGATAGATCTATGAACCTACTACTGGATCTACATAATGATGCACTCCCTAAGGGTTCAAATCTACCTAGAAACTTTCATGAAGCTAAGAAATTGGTGAAATCCATTGGAATTGGTTACAACAGTATTCATGCTTGTCCAAACGATTGTGTTCTCTACTGGAAAGAGAATGTGGATTTAAATGAGTGTCCAAAATGTGAGGTTTCTCGATGGAAATTAGATCGGAAGAGTCTAGATGAGAGACATGTGTATAAGGTTCTTAAGAAGGTTCTCCGTGACTTTCCTATGAAGAAAACACTCCAAAGGTTATTTTTGTCCTCTAAAACAGCAAGTCTAACAAGATGGCATGATGAAGACCGAAAAAAGGATGGTCTGCTAAGGCATTCTGCAGATTCACCTCTATGGCAGGACTTTGATGAGAAGCATCTAGAATTTTCTGCAGATAGTCGAAATATCCGTCTAGCATTTGCCACGGATGGGTTTAATCCATTTAGAATGAACAATGTTAGCTATAGTGTTTGGCCTGGTATTTGTATTCCACTCAATTTCCCACCTTCCATGTGCATGAAGCAGTCAAATTTCATCCTTTCTTTGCTCCTTCCCGGTAAACGTGGCCCGGGTAGTGATATGGATGTCTTTTTACAGCCACTTATTTATGATTTGTTAGATATGTTTGAAAATGGAGTTAGAACCTATGATGCTTCAAGGGGCGAGTTCTTCAAGTTGAGGGCGGCGGTGTTGTGGACTATTTTAGATTTCTCAGGTTTAGGTTATGTGTCTGGGTCTACCACATCTGGTGAAGCAGGATGTCCTGATTGCCACCAATTTACATGTTCACTTAGACTTCATAATGGTACGAAGACTTGCTATATGGATCATCGTAGATTCTTGGATGAAAACCACCCATTTAGGTTTGATGTTGATAAATTTGGTGGTAAAACTGAGTTTAGGCCAGCACCTACACCACTTTCTGGGGAGCAAATTTTGGACTGCACTAAGGATCTTTGTACAAGTTTTGGCAAGGATCCATCTGGGAAGCAACCAGCAAGAAAAAGACGAAAGGAAGGGGAGCCCTTAATCATTTTCGAAAGGAGATCTATATGGTTCAAACTTCCATATTGGAAAGATTTGATGCTGCGACATAATTTTGATGTCATGCACATAGGAAAAAATGTGAGTGAAAGCTTAATTAACACATTCCTGGGCACCATTGAAAAGTACAAGGAAAATTTGAATTCTCGTCTAGACCTTCAAGCTCTAGGTATTAGAAGTGATCTTCACCCTGTTGAAGTTGATGACCAATTTTATTTACCACCTGCACCATACACAATGAGTCCCGATGAGAAGAAATTATTTTGTCAAATACTAAAAGGGGTGAAGTTTCCTGATGGTTATGCATCTAATATACGACACAACATCCAATTTAATGAGAAAAAAATATTTGGGCTAAAGAGTCATGAGTGCCACATTATTCTTCAACACCTGTCATGGATCAAGATGATAGAACTTGATGTAGTGCTAAATGTTGGCTTCAATCAAGACTTGAGACATACCTTTATCTAATATAATGTGGTTAGTGTTGTGGGCAGCTATGGATTACATATGTATGTGGTTGATGAATAATGTGATATGTTATGGATGTTTATTAGGTTTGAAATTTGGATAATACGAAATTAATATTATATATAATTGTGCCAGTTCATAGCTATTGATTATTGGTTGCTAAAAAGTTTGATATCCCCGAACCATTGGTCGCTAAAACTTGTGACAGATCATCGGTCGGTATAAATATTTGCGTCAAACTATCGGTCGCTATAAATCCTGTCGGCCGCTATAGACTTATAGCGACACCACTTACAGAGACTTATACATTGGTCGCTATAACGGCTTATAGTGACCGTTTTAGAGTCGCTACAGATTGGCTGTGGTATAGTGTCAAACAATGACAACACCTACCCTTGATGAGGTCTTGGCTAACTTGAAGCGACTTTTGGGTTGTCTCTTTCAGATGTCACTAGTACACAGAACATTACTACTGGCAGTTCCAGACCTATTTTTACTGGCATTTCTGGCAACTGCCAGTGTGAAAGACCACTGAAAACCGCAAATTTCACAGGTGTCTTCTTGAGATTCGCCAGTGTAAATCCATTTACATTGGCGGTTCGCTTAAGCCAACTGTCAGTGTAAAATAGATTTACATTGGCGGTTCACTTAAGCAAACCGCCAGTGTAAATGCATTTACAGCGGCAGTTGGCTTAAGCAAACTGCATGTGTAAATACATTTCCATAGGCGGTTTACGTAAAACAACCACTTCTGAAAATGGATTTCTAGAGGTGGATTAGTAGCATAAACCACCAGTGAAGTGTTTTTAAAATTTCCCGCCAGAGGTAATTATATTTAAAATTTCAAATGAACCCAAATGTACATCACATGCAATCATATTTCCATGCATGACAAAAACAATATTTACTTTATTCTACCATAGTCATCAACTCAAGTATATACATCAAAGTTTTCAACTCATAAGTTCCATGAATTATCTAATAATCATCTCTGTTTAGTTCTAGCCTAGCAAAATCTATAAGATCTCGATACTTTGGTTGTACTAACTTAGAGGTATCATTATGATATATTACCATTGGAAGTGAATTATTACTTTCATGATGAACCAGCACATGTCATCGCATATGTTCATGATGTCTTTATCTTTGGGGTGTCTATCTGTTGGATTGCAATGATATACCTGCAAAGAAAGTTTATATATAGTCATCATATATTTACAAGTGACCAATGCATTTGTAAAACTAATGATAAAACTTCATATGACTACTACTTATTCGTGGTGTATCGCCTGTTTTGTCTGAGAAACTCGCACACGTAGTACCCACACAAAACTGTTCCAAATGGTTGCTTGTGGCACTGTATAACAATTGGCAAGTGGTTATTTAGTTGGTGCATATACATATATACTAGACATGTATGATATTTATTTAAAATTTACCGGATAGTTGATCCATCGGACATCAGTTTTGATTTTCGCTTTATATCATATTTTCCACGTATACCACTTGTATCCCCTGCAGAGCTTGAATAAAGTTACCAAGTCATTTTCAAACTCTGCCCGATAATATAGAAATGTTGAAAACTCTGCACGCATATCTTTACTTATTGTTGTATAAGTGTCAAGAACTTTTTATACGTGTTGCTCGGTTAATCTAGGGAGTCAAGGGCCAACATACTGGAAGTTGTATGAGGCCACAACGCATTCCCTGTCTTGAAATTCAAGAAATCTGTTTCCTATGTAGGTGGCCACTTCAAGGTCCATGTCTTGTTTGCATCTTCGATTTATTACTCACAATTTCCTCGTCAGTCTTGCCCTGAAGTTTATCGTTGCCCTGAAGCTTTGCTTTGTAGGTGGCATGTAGAAGAGAGGGGGTACAATCCATTTTGACATATTTTCCTCTAGGAAGTGTTCTCCTTGTGTCATCCTCTATAACAAATAAGTCAAGGTGAAACTCTATAAAAAAAACATTAGTATCAATAGCGAGGCATTGGACTATAATGGGACTTCTTTTTTTGCTTGACAAACATGTACATCATTGTTTAGATTAATATTTTCACTAGGGCACTAATGATTGTTGCTGTTGACATGCCCCGACCATTATGTTTCTGCTCTGGCGCCGCTGACTGTTGGTTGTGGCGCTATTGTCGTGATTATGGCTAGCTCTACGGCAATCATTAACAACATGTACGTCCTTGTCCACCATGGCCTCCACAGTCTGAAAAATTGCCAGACGATCCAAATGGTTGATGGCCATTAATTACAGATATCCATCTTGGTTCGAAGGCATGCAACTGTTTGTAGAGCTTGATCACTTATAGGTTGTTTGGTTGGTGGAATGATATGGTCCATCATCATCTCACTCTCTTGTTTTTTGTTTGGTTGGCTACTGTCAGAACCGACCGTTGGAGCACTGTACAACTGCGGCGACCCTCTCTAGATCTCGTGACTGGGGCACCATAACCGGTGCACACTGGTGAGACCGGTGCCGCTGGTTGCTGTTTCTTCGCGCACTACTATAGAATTGGACTTTACTGTCGGTATCATCACTGTCGGATTTTGAGAAACCGACAGTGATAGCCCATCACTGTCGGTTTTTTGCTACAACCGACAGTGATAGGACACTGATAGCTCAACCGACACTGATATTCGGGTCTTCACTGTCGGTTTTAGTCAAGAACCGGCAATGATATTGGGTTATCACTGCTGATTTTAGCCAAAAACCGACACTAATACTATCAGTGTCGGTTCGTGGCTTGAACCGATAATGATATGCTGCAAGAAAACTTCATAAGTTTCTCATATGATGTCCGATGAAGAAGAACTTTATATCAAAGTTGTAGTACTCGACGAGATCTATAACTTTTAGTTCAAACTTTTTAAATTTGAGATCGTTTGGATGTCCAAATATTTTCATTTCAAATCATCTATCTAACAAAAATTACGTTCGATTTCTAAAATTTAAAATTTGAATTTTTCAAACGACCTTGGATGGAGAAATGCCCAAAACAAAAGTTGTAAATCTCGAAAAGTTATACAACTTTATAGTTGACAACTTTTTGATTTGAAATCATCTTGTCAAGGAAAACTATGTTTGAATTTCTAAAATTTGAAATTCTAATTTTGCAAATGACCTCAGATGGAGAAACTACCAAAATGAAAGTTGTAGATCCCAAAAAGTTATGAAACATTGTAGTTGACAACTTTTTAATTTGAAATCATTTTTTCAAGAAAAACTATGTTTGAATTTCCAAAATTTTGAAATTTGAATTTTTTAAACGACCTTGGATGGACAAACAGCAAAAACAAAAGTTGTAGATCTCGAAAAGTTATAAAACTTTGTGTAACGACCCAAAAATCCACACACTAAAAATCACAACTATAAAATTTTTTTCTTCAAAACCCATGTGATGATGAGTGACATTGTAGGAGCCAACCCTAAGAGTTGCATTAGAAGTAACCCAACTAGACAATTTTATGAGCATGGCATGTCATTTGTTATCATGTTTATTTAAATACTGACAAATGAAACATAGCATACATTGTCAACTCAAAGGGTGATTTGGATTTTCATTTGTTTTATGTAATGTCTAACAACACCTTTAAAGAAATAAACCATAAAGAAGTTATTACTCAAACCAAATTTGAATTCAAACAAAGGAGAAGAAAAATAAAACAGAAAAAGGAAAAGAAGGAAAGAAGGCCCATAGCAGGCTCGGCCTGCTCGGCCCGCCAGCGCGCAGCAGCCGGCCAGCCCCGCTAGCACGCGCAGCAGCAGGCCGGCCCAACTCGCGCGGCTAGCCCAGCTTGCGGCCCAGCACGTTGCCCACTCCCGCGCGCCTCCCCGCTCCCCTTGCTGCCGCTGCCGCCGCACCCCACCTGTCGGACTTTCCTATTCATCTTCCTCGCGCCCACGCCTCAACCGCCCGCGCGACCGAGGGCCGACAGCGATGGCAGGAGCGGGCCAGGGGGTCACGCCCGGGGCATGGCCTTGTTCCCCCTTGCGCCGCGCTCACGCAACCTCACGCCACCGTTGGATGCGATGCACGCGCCTCCACCGCTCGATCGCCGTCCGCCATGGGAGCTTCGGAGCTCAGCTATAAAAGCCTCGGCCCCAGGAGCCCTAGCGCTTTCCCATTGCCCCGCCGCCACTTTGTGGCCATCCACTGCACACCCGAGCCAAGAGAGGATGGAGGAAGAAGTAAGGAGGCGGAGGAAGCCGCGGCGGGGAAAAGCTCGCCGAAGCCGGAGCCAGAGCGGGCGACGCTGCACTACACTGCACTGCTTCCGGAGCTACACGGTCGTGACCCGCCACTGCGCCGCCATCCTATCTCCCACGACACCAACGGTGAGCCCCTCGCTGCTGAGACCCCTCTTAGCCCCTGGACGCTGTAGCAGAGCACGCACACGCTGCGCTCCCGACACCGCCATCATGGCGTGGCCACCGCTTGCGCACCTGGCCACCTCACCGGACTAGGACACCGCCGTAGCACCACCAGAACGCCCGAAGGGTAGCCGCGTAGCCCGAGACCCTGATAGCCGATCACAGCACCCCGGCCACAAGCACCGAACCTCGGCCGGAGCTCCGCCGTGCACCATCACCGCGCGCGGACTCTGCCATGTCTTTTGGTCGCCATCGTCACTTGTCCCGATCGCCCGCTGGCCGTATGAAAGGGAACGGGGCACCAAGACCCTTGGAACGGCCCCTAGCTGCCCCGCCGGCGAGCACCGCCACGACCAAGCCACCGACCACCGTGGACAACGCCCTAGAGAGCCCCGGCCGCCACCCAGACACCACCATTGTGTTCGCCATGGCATGGGGAAGCTTTCCCCCTCCTTAATTGGATGCCAGCGCCGCCGTAGAATCGCGCCGGTGAGCATATCACCGGCGGGAGCACGCCGGGGACGAAAGCAGAGGCCTCCTCTCGCCGACCGCACACGCCTGCTCTCGGTGCACGTGAGCCAAGCCAAAAGGGAAAGAGGGTGGACTTGGTCCACCGT